AAATAGCCAGGATAGTTTTCTAATGATGAGTTCTAATAAATTTTATTATTAAAGTTTGTACTTTTGTTAATTATTTAGTTAATGACATTTTATTTATATTCCAGCAATTTTAATACTATTGGAATATTTTATTTCCCATACTAGAGCCCTTATGATAAGTTAGGTGACAAATCCCAGTAATGTTAATTGTAAGTTACAACGTTCAAATAACGTTCTTTCTGCGGTTCTGACTTGTAATCATACGTGTGCTCCGCGCGAAAGTCGCAACAAACTGATTGAAATTGCCCCAATTGCGCTACACACGCGACAGCGGCAGGGCCGATCTAGGGAGTAAGGAAAGTCTTGCGCTCCTGCCGCCTTGCCGCAGGGCCGACTTGCAAAATTGCCCCTGCTTGCCTCCACACATCACAATTAAGGAGGCAATTAAGAGTCATCCCCACTCCTACACCCTAGATAGCCCCTGCGGCAGGCATGTCAGTAACCGCCTTTAGAATGTAATCCAAGGTTTGTTACCCCCCTACCCCAGCCTACGAACGAGGAGTAAATATATAAAAAAATAGTGACAAACGTATTTGAAATCATCATCATTACAGCCCTTCACAAGTCCACTGCTGAACATAGGCCTCCCCCAAAGAATGCCACAAAGCACGGTCCTGAGCCACCTGCATCCATCGACTTCCTGCATGTCTTACCAGGTCGTCACTCCATCTCGTGGGGGGACGCCCTACACTTCGCCTTGAAATAGCACAACTCAAATATAATAATTATTTAAACTTCACCCATGTAGTTTAGAAATAAAAAATCTTTAAAGTGAGCGATCTTATAACGTTAATATTACTTCAAATATTTAGAATGGGGTACTTTTTTTTTATAGGAGAGGGGGCAAACGAGCATACGGCTCACCTGATGGTAAGTGACTACCGCCGCCCATGAACAACTGCAACACCGGGGAGGGAATTGCAGATGCGTTGCCGGCCTTTTAAAAAGGAGTACGCTCTTTTCTTGAAGGTCCCTAAGTCGTATCGGTCCGGAAAAATCGCTGATGGTAATCGATTCCACAAGGAAGTCGAGCGAGGAAGAAAACATCTTCTAAATCGCACAGTGGTGGACCGCTAATCATCCAGATGGTGTGGATGGTATCGGGAGTTCTGCCGCGATGTGCGTTCGTGAAATTTGGCGGCTGGGATTAATCCGAACAATTCCACAGAGTACTCCCCGTGGTAGATGCGAAAGAAAATGCAAAGGGATGCAACATCTCTTCGCAAAGCCAATGAATCGAGCCGATCGAAAAGGGCTCGGTCGTCGAAGATTCGAGCTGCTCTGCGCTGGATGCGGTCAAGTGGAAGGAGCTGGCACTGGGGAGCCCCTGCCCAGAGATGGGAACAGTATTCCATGTGAGGCTGAACCTGCACCTTGTAAAGTTGCAGGCATTGTACCGGCATGAAATACTGTCCCGATCTGCTGAGCACGCCAAGCTTTTTAGAGGCCAATTTTGCCTTCTCTTCCAAGTGACCACGAAACTGCACGTCACTCGATATGTCGACTCCGAGGATACCGATACTGGCTGAGGCAAGAAGGGGAGTGCCTTGAAACTGAGGAGATACGACAAAGGGGTTCTTTTAAGCGGTAAACGCGCAAACTTGTGTCTTCTGAGGATTAAACTGGACTAGATTTAGTCGCCCCCAATCTGAGACTTTGTTCAGCAAAGACTCAACTTCAGACACAAGTTTGTTCCGGTACTCGGCGACGTTTTCCCGAGAAATATTGGCACGGCCGGTGTATAGAGCATCACCAGTGCTGTTGTCCGCATAGCAATGAATGTTATCAGTTAGCAACATATCATTGATATGCAGAAGAAACAGCGTTGGTGATAGCACACAGCCTTGTGGAACACCGGCGTTAATAGGCTTGTAGTCAGAGCATGCACCGTCTACAACAACCTTGATGCTCCGATCTTCAAGGAATCTGGTGATCCAATTGCATAATTTCTCGGGAAGCCCATAGGAAGGGAGCTTCGAAAGAAGCGCTTTGTGCCAAACCCGATCAAAGGCCTTCGCAATGTCCAGACTAACGGCCAACGCCTCCCCCTTGGACTCTACTGCCTCCGTCCATCTATGGGTCAGGTAGATCAGAAGATCACCAGCTGGTCGACCCCGACGAAAACCGTATTGGCGGTCACTAATCAGCTGGTGATCCTCAAGGTACCGGATGAGCTGGCAGTTAATAATGGATTCCATTATTTTGGAGACCAAGGAGGTGATCGCGATAGGCCTATTGGACAGGTCTGAGCGGTCGCCTTTTTTAGGGATCGGGTGGACAAAAGCTGTCTTCCATGAGTTCGGGACTACGCTTTGGGAGTAGGAGTACCGGAAAAGACGCGTTAGGATCGGTGCCAACTCCGGAGCACACGTCCTCAGCACAATTGGGGGGATTCCGTCAGGCCCACTCGACTTCTGGATGTCCAGGGAGAGGAGTGCTTTGCGAACCGAGCGCTGTGGGAAGAGTACATCCGGCATGGAGCACTCACACCGCGGGATGGTCGGCGGTGTTTTCCCCCCGTCATCAAGAGTCGAGTTGGACGCAAAAAAGGAGCCTAAAAGGTCAGCTTTGTCTTTTGCGTATTGGGCCAGTGAGTCGTCCTCCCTGTGCAGAGATGGTAGTGATGGCTTACAGAAATTCCCTTGGACAGCCTTGGCGAGAGACCAGAATGCACGGGTTCCCGAAGGAAGGCGAACTAGTTTCTCGCCAATTCTGCCTATGTGCTCTGACTTTGCCTTGGCAATAATTCTTTTGAAGGACCTGGAGGCGGAATTATACTTCTTTTTAAGTGCGGTGGTGTTTAAATCCCGAGACGATGATGCGTCAGCCCAGGCCCGGTAGCACTCCTGCTTATAGCGTGATGCTATTTTACAGGAGCGACCAAACCATGGCTGGGATCTGCCTCCGATGGGCACCACAGATGATGGAATAAATAGTTCCATTCCCTGTAGCACCACATCAGTGACAGAGTCAGCAACAGCGCTGGGATTATCCGGCGAGAAGCAAACCATGGGTAGGATGCAAAGAAAGACCGCATTCCGTCCCAATCCGCCGACCTGTAATGCCAAACACGGCGGCAACCTGCAGAACGCAACCGCGAAGGGAGCGTGAGTGGCACCACACTCCGGATCAGACAATGGTCCGAAGAGCCGAGAGGGGCATCGACGGAAACCTGATATCCGTCCGGATGAGAGGTCAGCAGAAGGTCCAACAGGGAAGGTGTATGATCCTCCACATCTGGAATCCACGTAGGCGAAGTAACCAGTTGTGTCAGACCATATGCCAAGGCAAAGTCTTAAACAGATGTCCCCGCATGATCGGTTAAACGTGAACTGAGCCATTCGGTGTGGTGGGCATTAAAATCGCCAAGGATCACGATCTCTGCGAATGGGACCTGTTGTAGCAAGGAATCTGTAGCCATTTGGACGTGGTAGATGAGTCGGTCTGTTTCGGCATTACCGCTATGGGACCTATAGAGGCACCCGTAGACGCGCGGATGGTCGTCGCTGTCTACGCGTAACCAAAGGATGGACAGGTCCGAACCTTCAAGACTGCCGAGGCGTCGAGAACAGATGTCCTCTCTGACATACTCGCAAACTCCAGCCCGAGGCACAAAGGAGTGCTCCAATTTGTACCCCGGGCAGGAGAGATACGAAATATCAGCCGGAGAGGAAACCTGCGTCTCGGTCAGAAAGAGCAAGGCTGGCTTCGCCGTCTCGAGATGGTAGTGGACGGCGTTTAGGTTAGAGTGAAGTCCCCTGATGTTGCAGAAATTCACGGATAGCGTGGCAGGGATCGCCTTGGTATTGTTGCTCAGTTTGCCCCGAGCAGTTATGTTTTTGGGCGGAATTTTGCCCCCCCCCCCAGAATACGCGGGGCAGCCTGAGCACCCACGCTCAGGATTGGAATAACATGGTCGTAGATGCTCAGCGAGGGATTCTCCAGGGGTACTGGTACCCTCCTGGGGTAGTCTATTGTGTAATTCCGCTACCATGTTGATAGGGGGGGGGGGGGGGAATTGGGCCTCCGGCCACCTGTACTCACCAGACGAAACCCAGAAGCAGAGCTTCTACTTCACGCCGGTATTCTGTGAGGTCATGGTACCAACCCGGCTCGAGCCGGCCCATACGTGCAACAGCAAAAACTGCTGCGTGGCTCTACTTTTTGCAATATAAAAAAACTGCACCTTGCTTGAATATAAATGATAATTAATAGAATCAGGCGTTACTTTGCGGAAGTCCATTATATTAAAGTTGGTAAAAAATTACTTCGCGTACATCCGCTCGATAAAATAAAATTATATGTCTTACCTAGTTTGATGAGCACCTCCCGCCCTCCCTTAATTGCGTGCACTATCACCGTCATCACTAATCCCAGCACCACTACTCCCAACACCACTACACTAAGAAAGACACACCACTGACGACAATACGACTTGAAGATGCCTCGTGTAGTGGCGAAAATAAAAAATAGGTAAATATTGCTCAATTTATAACATCGATATAACTTCATATCATTAGAAATGGGTACTTGTTGCAGTATGAAAAAATCTGCACCATGCTTTAATATAATTGCACCATCGTTAAAAATGCATAAAATGCAATATTAAGTGCAAAAAGATAATAAAACCAAATTTGTTAAGTAGTTAAAGCACCCACCCTATCCCACCCTATCCCGGCCTACGAATTTGGAGTATATATAAAATAAAAAACATTTTTTTTAATTATTGTGTTCTGTGGTTATGTAATTACCACTATTTGAGCATAGAAAAATGCTCAAAGTTACCACTAATGTACTAATGGCAATAACATATTAAGTAGAATCGACTAGTTAGTCTGTGAATAACATATTTTACTGCCACAAGTTGTCATTTAAAATATGCAAAGGAAATAAAGAAAGTTTAATTGTTGAATATACATATTATGTAATACACAGTAAATAAATTGAATGAAATGAAAAATATGGAATCTAATAATGATGAAACTGCAAAACTTAATAATATGGAGGATGATCAAGAGCCACCTGAGTCACAAATATCTAACGATATTGAAACCACACAATCATCGGAAATTGTGACGACACCAATAAGTACTATGAATCATCGAATACGAGAAGATGCTATATTAAAAATTACATCTAATAGGCTATTTGATGGGAAAATTACTAATCTATGTTCGCCTTCATCATCTCTATCATTAAGTTTTTCAAATAAAAAGTTTTCCTCATCAGTTCCAACAACTAGTCAACCACTTCGAATATCATTACATGATGCATCTTCCGTACTTCAAAATACACCAAATAAATCTATTAAATTACCAACATTATTCCAATTGTGCTTATCAAAATTAAATGAAAGTTCTATCAGTATATCTACATTCAAGAACATTTATGCAGTTAGAAGCTATTTTGAAGCCCCTTCCAAACAAATAACCTGTAAAATTGATAATGTTCGAGAAACGTCTGCAGGTTTATGTACTCCAAACTCCTTAACTAGTGCCCCGCCATCATATTCATTTGTATTAAGACAAATGAACTTAAGGCGCCGGCCAAGGTTTATGGGTACTTTTATTCCATCTCCGTCGTTTATTTTACGTCCTCCGCCTCCGAATTACGCTACAGCTTTTGATGTATACGTAGACAGTCCAATACCACCTCCTCCAATAGTATACAACTATGGTTTTACATCAATGCCCGTAATTTGTCCTGAATGTGGATATGCTGGTATGAGTATGATAACTAGCAGGGTAACAGTCTGTACACATTTGTGGGCAGCTGCCCTGTGTATTTTTTGTTGTTGGATTTGTGCTCCGTTGCCTTATGTTTTACGCTCTTGCAAAAATGTTTACCATTATTGTAGAAATTGTCGCAATTTTTTGGGTATGTATTGTCCTACAAGCCAAGAAAATATGTATTAATAGTACCTTAACTTCGATTTTTAAGATTTTAATTTAATTATATTTCTATGTATTATCATTCATGTTTATTAATTAAAATTAGCTCACTTATAATAATATTATCAAAATTTTATTTGACCTTCATATGTCCGGGAGGTCTGCTTTTATCTTTATTCTTCTAGTTTATGTGAGCCCGTGCAAATTATGAAATCAGTGGCTTAGGCATAGACTTATAATATTTCCATCTACGGACAACATATACTTACTTAGCCTATCTATGGCGGGCAAGGAATCACAGAAGCACAGAACAAAGTTAATAGTCACTTTTAAATCGTTGTGATTATATATTCTTTGTCTTTTGGGTGTAGAGTGTGTAGGAATAAACAAATTCTTTACTAATAAGCGTAGATTGAGAACCAAGTCTATATATTAGACGGGGACTAAGTTTATATGCAAATAGGTCTATTAAACCAGGCGATATTCGATTTGTCTTCATTGGCCGATAACGATATGTCACACTGACATACCTCACCGACACCAATATCATCTAGAAGTTTTTCATTTAACGACACGATACCACAATCGTGAAGGTGACGATAATTGGTTAAAAGCCACTTTTAGGCGTCTGCCGCTCCCATTAGAATTAAAGTGTTCGCGAAAGCTCCAGCATATGATTAGAGTGAGTCCAAGGTACCTCATGCTGGAGCTAACCCGAATACGGATATCACTGACAATGATGTGTGACCCAGGTGAAAACAAATGGCCTCAGTCTTGCTTAGCGCCACTTCTAGTTCCAACATACTGATTCTGCCAACAACCTGTGTCACACCCGGGTGGTGTTGCTCCTCACGTCGTGTCATGTTTGAGCTATGGGTGATTTTATAGCGTCTTAACTTATCTTAACGTCTCCAAGCATTTAAGCTATAAATCCCTCAGCTTCTAAAACACTGCGAAAAATGATCTACGACACGCCAGAGGGATTCAAAGGTTCTAACGGCAGCAGACTCGATACAAGTTCTTCCCATGCCTGCCTCGAGAGTAGGTAAACATGTTCTAATAAGGTGTTGCCCCTGAAAATACGGTGATTGCGGGTTTGCTCGGCGTCGACAAAAACCGAGTGCATTTGGCACTTCGCCGAGGGTATCATATCCTCGGTCCCTCTCAACAAAGAGTTTACGGGAAGTAACACAACCCTAAAGGCCATCCTATCTCCAAACATAGCCCTCGAATTTTTTTTGATTCTATTCTAAACCAGAGATACGCCTTCTCACAGGAGAATATACATGGCATGCCTAGACTGCCATATTGTTTAAATTCATTAAGATAGACAATATTATTTTACTATATCTGCTTCACCTATCACGTGACTACCGGACGTAGTATCTACTAATATGTCGTTGTCGATAACCTGTCGTTGCTTATAACCTGTCGTTGCTGGATAACCTGTCTACGCTGGTAAACCGGTGTCGTGTCGATCATCGAAAAAGTATCATATGTCGCTACATAGCTTTCAGTGCCCGATCCTGGTGAGCGTGTTTTGGCAATAGTATATCATTATCGTGTCAGCTAATGAAAGAACGCTCTTACTCTTAAAAGACTGGTGTAAAAACACTTAGTCTATTTAACTTTGATTCAGAGCAACCGAATCGCACTCGGCTGCTTAGAAACCGAACCGCACATGACTGCATTAGATGGCTGACTGTCTAAATATCGTATTGCATAATAAAAGCTAAACCGTTAAGTAGGCGCGCATCAAGTTTAGTAAGTAGACGTCACTTAATGAAATTCCAAATACGCCCTACCTTAAGATATATATGATGAATTAAACCAGTAAGTATCAGCCAAAGAGCAGCACTGGCTACCCGCGAACGGAGGAGAGTAGCCTTTACGTTTTCCCCCTATACGTTACTGTCTTTAATTTTTCACGGGTGGAAATCTGCACACACAAATACAATTGTCAGTCACGAAACACACTCATGACAATTAAAACAATAAAGTAAAGTAAAGTTGCAGCCTATTTACGTCCCACTGCTGGGCACAGGCCTCCTCTCATTTCTGAGATGGTTTTAGGGCAAGGAAATGTCCACCGCGCTGCTGCCAATGCGTGTTGGCGAACTTCACGTCTTCGAAATATTTTTTTTTCTTATTTCTCAGACATGCAGGTTTCCTCACGATGTTGTCCTTCACCGCCGAACACGTGGTAAATCAACACTTAAAGATCGAACCCGGGTTGCTCGAGTACTGTGTAGTTTACAGCGAGCGCTAACCGTTTGAGTTACCACGGCTCTTCAAACAATAACTTAACAATTTCACAGTAAAAGTATTGTAACAAACAATAACAGTACTGTACGGTGTCAGTGACAACTAAGATATAGACTCTGTGATCAGTCTCTCGATCGATTTGTATATTGTATGAAAACCAGCAAATAGCGACCTGTTTTGGTAAACAATTCTGAAACAATACGACCGTTATTGTTGTAACTTTTAAGTTTACAAAGAAGTAAACAGCAATAATGTAATATAAAATTACGAAAGGTAACATACAACACTTTTTGAAAATTTGAAATGAGAGACATCTTTTTGCAGCAAAATAATGAATAATTCGGCATTTTTTTTAGAACGTCGATTCAACCGCGTAACTAGGTTTAGTCTTGTGAGCAGTGCGGCTACACTTAGTTTTATTGTATACATATAGCTACTCTCCTCTGATCCGCTGGTGGCCCGTAATACGTAATGATGTACCTTATTAGAAAAGCCCACGTCATAAAATAAATCTGTTCCGCCGTTTTCGAGAAATGGGTAAACATACATCATACAAAAAAAAACTTACGCGTCGAATGTAGAATGACGAATGTAGAGCGTCCTCCTTTTCTAAAGTCGGTTCAATAATAAACAGTTAACGTCGACCGACATAGATATCCCTTGAAAATGGGGGTAATAATTTTCCACTCACCAGATGTCGCTAGTTGACTCTGAGGTAATGTTTTTTTGTTATACAGTGCAATTTAATTGAGAAGTTTGTTTTTAATAAAAGTTTATCAGTTTCTAGAGTATTAAACTAATACACAAAACAATGCATCAGTGGTTTGCTCTTTAATTTTTTTGCACAAATTTTTCTTCTTTTATGTATACTTGTGGTTTGGTTCACTTATTTTTAATCTTATTAATATAAAATAAAGCTAATAGTGCAGAAAGAAATAATAACCTTTACATTTTCCGAAAAAATTATCTTCCCCGCTATGAAATCTGTCAAAAATGTTATATTTCACTTTCTAGTGGCGCCGCCCTTGTGGCAGAAAAAGTAATGGATACCCTCATTGGTTAGAGCGCGAATTAGAGAGCAGTGCACATAGGTAACACTTTTACTCTCTAGCGAGGGGAGTAGTGCAATAGGGAGTTGTCTAATTAGACATTTTAACATAATGAAATAGTAAAAAATATCCGTGTACTAAAACTTAGTGAATATTTTAATTCTTTGTTGTGCACTATCGGCTGGTGTTCGGCCCATAGACTTAGAATATACTGGTTACTGGCGCGTACAATACTTGTATATTTAGAGGTCAGTGTTACTAGCGTAGTTCGGCCTTTATATCTATGGGTGTATTCAAAGAGAATATAATCACTACGTTTAGGTGTATAGGGTGTATGCAACCAAAGAGTATATAAACACTACATTTTTTAAGCAACTCTAAATTGCATAGACATGGTATCATCATTATTTATATTAATCTATTAGTTTTATAATTCCAATAATTGTTTCCATGAATATTTTGTGGAACTAATCCTCCATCTACGCAAAAAGGTCAATGTAAATAATAAACCATAGATAATATTCCGATTATTTTGTTAATTTTTTAATTATCAGATCGAAGCAGATCAAAGATTATTTTAGATTTTGAGATTTATTTTAGACTGGATCTAATACCTGATATTAATGACAAAAGCATATTATAATAACAAATATTATAGTTGATGAACAAAAATCTGTTATGTGAGTATGTGATCTGATACACTATACTCCTGTGATACAAAAAATGTAATGTGATTTCGTTCAAAAAATATTTAATGTTTTGATAATATTGATTTTGTTCCATAATATCGTATATTATAATAAGTAATGTATGAGAATGTTTAATTAGAATGTATTCCTATAGAAGTAAATTCAATTATTTAAACGAAATATATTCAGCAAAATTGTTGAAATAAAAAGTTTTATTTTGAACGCTGTTAATGTCATTAATCGGTTAGCGCCCTCTATTGTCAGAATGTCTAATTTGTAAAATTAGAAGTCAGCCTTCCGCGAGTTCCGTGTGTGTTGCGGAAAATACCCTTTTTGGGCGTCCGACCACATGTGTGAATTGTGAACAAAATATGGTTCAATAGTGGTTTTCGGCATAAAAGAGTCAGTTTTGCGGTGTTTACTTCACGAAATCGATAGATACGGTTTGCCAGGTGCGTTGTGTGCCGTTGAAAAGTCGGAAAGAGTCATTGGAAGTGGATTTTTCGATGTAAATACGGTTCAAGCAGGTTCACTCTAGTGCGCGTTGCAAAGTTAAAGCATATTTTTCTTGTCATTCGGGACTTTTGCTCCTCTCTTTTGGATTGTACACCGCCGCTGAATAAAGCGACCTTCACGAAATTGATTTAGGTCGCATTTCACGGGAAAGTTCGCCTCGCTCGTGGGTACGACCCGCAGCATGCCGTCGTGCTAAGTGGCATGGATGCGCGCTCGTGATCGTCGGTTGGCGCGGAGCGCGCGCCCGGGCTTACATAACGACGACAGCAGCGGCATGGCCGCGCGCGTATCAGTCGAGGGCGCAGGGCCCTCATATGCATCTGTGCTGAACTTCAGAGGGGGGGACAGTAATAAAGAAAACATCGAAGCCTCTGAGGAAGTGGTGGATGTGGCACCGCGGCCAGACGATGAGGAGGAAGAAGGTTTCGTGCCAGTGATCTCCCATGGCCGGCGACATGGTAAAAGTCGTAAGGAACGGGAGCGCAGGGCACCTCCTCGCCCTCAC